CCTTATTAAACCTCATTAAGTTTACACGGATCACCATGGAACATGGAACATGGTGGTTGCTTCATACGGAGATTTTGACATGAATTTAAAGCTGCTTATGTCTTTCCAGGCCTGACCGTAGTACACAAGAAAAGCATACATGGTCTACTGAACATTAATGAACATCTCTTGTTTAAAACTGTCCAAAGGAAAACATGGACAATCCACTGGTGAATACTTTATGAGTTCTGCTTTTTTTACTGCCATGCCAGTCTAAGCAGGTTATGTGTTAGGACTCTGCTTACAACATTTGTCTCAAAATCTTTTTGGTCAATACTTTAGGAACTGAACTAGACTTACCTGTCATATACACAGTTCAAATTCCCTGCACAACATTTTGTCATTAACATTATAGGAGAGGTTAGTAGTATTTGGTCTGAAAAAAAAAATCTCAGCGTTTCTGAATACTGTTTAAGGGACCATTTCTGCATGTATAGATTTCTTCACAGTTCTCGTTTTTTTTTCCCAGGGTTTAAACAACAAAAAGAATTTACCAGCAGGGGGTGCAATGCTACGCTGTTTGGAAAATATTGCTACCTTCATGGAAGCCTTGCCAATGGATTCGCCCAGCAACCTCTGGACCACAATTAGTAATCAGTTTCAGACCTTCCTTACTAAACTCCCTTGTGTTTTGCCACTTAAGGTATGATGTATGGACATCTGAAACAAGCTATACTGCCATTGATCAGGCTGTACTGAAATAGCGGAAAGGTGGCAGATGAGAAATCAGAGCAGGTTGTTGTGAATATTTTCAAATGATTCAACTAATGTTCCCAGATGACTCGATTTATTGTATGTCTGATCCATACCTTTAGTTATATTTTTCCACAGGTAACAATAACAACTCTGACCAGAGTACTCTTCACTTCTTTGTTGGCTTTTTTTGCCTCTACACTTTCCATACCCTGTCTTTGTTAGATTAGGATACTGCATTTGAGAGAATCAGCATTTGGCAATAAAAATCCATCTGGTTTTAACTGTTAACATAAAACTCTCAAGACGAGCAGCACCACCTAATTAATTTGCTCAATGTACACAATAGTCAGACAGAGCCGAGTCTACTGGGAACGGAGCCTAGCCTCTTTGGCTGACCAGGTTGTAGTTCTGGCTGTAATCAGAATGTAGTTTCAGAAACTGAATGTAGAAGCTTTGGGCTCTGATTTCTGAGTGCTCAGAGGACATACAGGGGGATTTTATCTCCTGGTATCTACATTTCCAGATTTCTTTTCAGTAAACACAGTAAAAACTTTTCTGAATCTTTCCAGTAAACATGGGACTCTGATGCCCGTATTTTGATTTTGTTTCCTATGGCGTGAATGAGCGAAATGGTGATTTCTTCTGTGCAAACAGTGCTGCTCAGTGTGAGCTGAGGGATCCAAAATCTAACTTTGTGACTTACAACATTGTCTTTTAAATTGGGTGTCACCAAATCACATCAATGATATTAAATTCCTTGGCACTATTATGCAATAGTCAGATCTTGAAACCTCTTTAGGTTTTGGTAAATTGAGGCACTATCCTGCAGCACTTACTAAGCAGAACAGGTGTTAACCATTCTCTTTGCATACTAGCCACCCTAATCTGTTACATCTTGTCTAATTGAAATAAATAAAAAGAAATGAAATTGTTTGTATCTTAATAGTTTCAACTGTGTATCTGCCATTCACAGAACATTTAGATGGAGAGTTTACTCTGATTACCCTTTTGTTCATGGGAGGTATCATTAGTGATACAAGTAAAACAATCTCTTGCTCCTGAACTCTCAGTCTCCTGTTCCTTCCTCTGGGGCCATAATTGACTCTTTGCTGTTGTAGATGTTTGCAGCAGGGATGAGGCAAAACAATGGATAGACCCTGAAAAGTCCGATTCTCTGCTGCAACCTGTGTGATTTACGCAGAAGATAAATCAAATACACCAGAAAAAATAACTTTAGAGGGGGCTAAAGAGCAGCTGTTGCCAGGGTGCAATGTTATGGGGTGTGAGTTGCAGCCCTGTCTTGGGGTGTGGGGGAAAATGTCATAGCCCAGGGCAACCGCAGAAATGTAACATGAGGTAGATGGTATGTACCTTCTGCTAACTCACTCTTCCCACCCCCCCACACCCCCAATCCATTTTTATTACAGTGGAAATACATTTCTAGGATTTTTTTTGTCATAAAAGGAGTAAAGTCAACTTTTCTAAACTAGCCCTTTAGTAAAATTTTCTCATCTCAAGGCTAATGCTGTGGTTTGTTACTACTGAAGGGATATGGTTGTGTGTTCAGGAATAAGCCAGTTTAGGCAAAGTAAGTAAAGGTCAATCATCAGGGATAATTTTTCAGTCTTTACCTATAACTTATTCATAGCTGCTACCACTAGAAGCAAGACAGGTACACAGAAAGGTACTAACTCTGATTTTTTTTTCTTTTTTCCTACATTCAAATATGTTCACAGTGTTCTTTAGATTCTAGTTTAAGAATCATGATTTGCTTGTTGAAGATACCTACCACTAGTGCCACGAGGGTAAGTTCCAAGACGACAAAACTCTGTTGCCTCAGATTTATCCAGCCTGTGCTATTCCATGAATGTGTTCTTATCCCCAAGCTAGGAAAGTATTATATATAAGCATAAAATTGTGCAGTTCAATACTCTTCAGAGAATAATAAGAGCTTTGGAATCTAGGTTACAGTAAAGTGTGGGTGGGATTACATTCCTGTGTGGGTGTGAATGTATATCTTCTTAAAGATTTGATGTTCTCTTCCCCCCCCCCCCCCCCCTCTTTTTTTTTTTTTTTTTTTTCCTTTCTCTATATCATTCTAGGGAGAAAAAGAAAAAAATATTAATGAACTTTCTTAGAAGTTCTGCAGTACAATTCCACTGAAGTCAGTGAGGTTTCCCTGCATAAACACTGCAGAATCTCTTATATCTTGTAAGAACTGTGTCAGAGGTGAAACCATTTTCTAATTTTTTTGCTTCTAGTTTCTCATACAAGCATGAAGGCAAATGCTAGATAGATTAGCTTTTTGACCAAAACAGAGTAAAACCCAACAAGATAGTCTCTGAGCTAAAAATAATGCTGTTCCATTCAGACATTTTGGAGTTGCAATGCTTTTTCTTTTGCTGAGCAACCAGTTATTGATTTCTCTAAATCATGTCATTGCAGAGTCTTCTGGAGCCTTTTTCAAAATTACTAAGCTTTGTAATTCAAAATGCTGTCTTCACTCTGGCCTACCTGGTGGAACTGTGTGGTTTGTGCTACCGAGCCTTCACTAAGGTAACAATGAGACTATATCTTTCTTTAGGGACAACTGAAAATAGGACAAAGTCCTGCTTCTCTCAAGTAGGATGTTTGTAAGTACAGATGAAATCAGTGTCAAGTTTCAGACATGTCAACAGTTTTAATGTAGTTTGGCTAATCAAGTAGTGATCGTGATTCAGTGCCTTTTAATAATACTTAGTTTCACATTCCTACTTTAGACACAGATAAAGGGAACCTGCTTAAAACATTGCTTAAAAAAGTATTTTGGTGTGATTTCATGACTTGGAAGTTTTTTTCTCTTATAGAGATGATATCTGGTATTCATGCATGACTTAAAATGCCTGTACAGTTGTATCTTTCCTAGTGCACAAGTTTAGCCACACACCTTGTGCAGTAAAAACTTAAACATTCTTGGTAGTGCCTTTTGAGAGCAGAGCTGTGGGGGGAGGGAAGAGATAGTGAAGTAAAATGGAAGACTCCAAGTCTTGGAGTCTTGTTAGGAACTTCCCAGCTTAGATCCTTGTTCATTCTCTATCAGGCATCTCACTGTGGCAATGCATGGCTGTAAGCTATGTAGAAAAGAGAACAGTATGTGTACCTTTAAAAAGTTTTTAAGATTTCCTGGATGAAAGCTGTGGTGTACAAGTAACATGCAGTTATTACTCAAGTTCATTTTGTAGCTATTGGTGAGAAGTTGAACAACAACAAAATCCACAAAAATCGATCAAACCTTTTACTAAGGCCCTGTATTCTCCTTTATGTAGATTGATAAGGTACTGAGTAAAAATGTTGCTTCAGTCCTTAGGTTCTACATCCTCGATACGTTTGTCAAACCAGAAATTAATCCTGAGGAAACATGCTCTCATAAATAGCTACACGATTTTCTGTATTGACAATGTACAACTGGGATGCACATTGCTTCAGTCTTGATAAGACTTAAAATATCACTGGACAAATAGTGAAGAAGAAAGGTTAAAAATGATGACACTCTTGCAAAAAACTGAACTACAAGTAAATAAGAAAAACATTTACCGGAGGTAATGGTTTGAAGCATCAAATAGAAACCAACAGTATGTTTAGTTACAGCAAGCAAATACTAGCTTTTTTGTCCCTTTTGAAAGACAAGAGTTTATGAAAGAAAAAAAATTCTCAATACAGAAGAGACTTTCCAGCTTTTGGATGTAGTTTGGGTTAGATCTATAGTTAAGGCTTTGGGCAAAAATGAGAAAAATATTAACTTAAAGTCCAACGGTGGAGTTTTTTCGTTGAAACAAAAAAGCCCCCATTTAAAACTGAAGCAAAGACATTCCTCTTGCATTTATGGGCTGATAAGACTATTTCATGGACGCCTGCTAAAGCAAATTGTCAAATACAGGACATGTTTCACTCCCTTCATGCTCTGCAGTTTCGGTTATTTCAAGAAAATTTTATTAAAACTGTGGTATTAAAAAACGCTATGCTTTTCTTTCAGGCTTCCTGGTTCTATTAATATATTGAGTACTTAATTGCACACAGGAAGCTTGGACTATAGTGCTTGGTAAAATCTCCTTCTTGATTTAGTTTAATGTAACCTGGTGACCCAGAAATGGAATCATTAGCGAATGGTCTCCTGCAATTTATAGCCACAAAATGCTTAGTTTAGAGGAATTCCACACTACATTATCTTTGTTGCTTCTGAAAGTTTAGCATGGTTTTGCATTAGAAATATCAAATTAATTACTGCTGTTATAAAAAAAAAAAAAAACAAAGTAGTTGTGATGTCTGTGTTTCTCTTTGGTGGAAATCACTGTAGCCAAGTAGGAGCGTTGTTTGTGATAGAAAACTGTGTAGAAGTGAATTCCAGAAGGAATATAATCTGTGAACATTGAAACTACTCAGAGTTAATTATTTGGTTTGCAACTTTGAATGTGCTGGCTGGAGCAGAACACTAACTTTCAGCTAAGCTATGGAGGATTCTTGTTTTTTCAGAGACCAAGCCACTCTGTCATACACTTTGTAGAGGCCAGTGCTGTACAACTACTCAAAATCTCCCTGTCTCCAACATTTTCCTAATACCCCATGGCAGGAATATCTCAGTTTCTCTTGTCTTGGAGCCTGAAGACTCACGTCAATCTGATATTTCCTTGTCTGACTTTCTGTTCCAGTTCAGCAATTTGATTTTTTCTGTGCCTTTGGAACTCTCAGTTGAGAGTAGCATCTATTCTGTGGATTGTAATCTTCTTATCTCTAGTCTTACTTTCAAGTATCCTTTCACGTAATGTCCTAAATGGACACTTTTTGGCTTTCTTATCTCTTACAGCTGCAGAAGCTTGAGCCTAAACTTAGTCTTTTGCTAGCATTCTGTTGACCCTTATTAAGTAAATGCAGAGTGCCACTGAATTGGACATGACATGATTTGGTATTAATTTTTTTAAAGAATATTGAAGTGGCCAGTCTTCAGTATTTGTAATTACTGTAGTAGCAACAGAGAAAAATAAAGAATTTTGCTTTATGCTGGTTTACTTGGAGAATAGCATACTGCTCCAATAAAGAACCAATTTTACTATTCTTATTACTAAGTTTAGGCCCTGAGATTCTGCTAGAAACAAACTTCAGTAGTTTCACATTCTACACATAGACCTCTGGCAAGTCACAGTTTGAAGGCTGCAAGGCCTTTTTCTTATAGGGATGCATAGACATTACAGAGAGTTAATTTGGCTGAACAGGCTAAAGGGGTTGTATTCTTGACTCTTTGGTACCAGGTTTACACGTGTGACTCCTGTGGGCATTATTCTTATGGCATTAATACTCATTTACATCTCTGTGGCAGAATATAAAGTTCTTAAAGTATGTATAAACTATGTTTATACATATTTATCACGAGCAGAATAATAGGAATAAGGAGACTTTGATGGGGGGAGGGTGGTACTCTGGGTTGTTGACTGCAGTGTAATCGCTCCTGATTTACAGTGCAGGAAGCAAGAGGTCAGATGTCAAAAAAACATTTTGCTTGATTTTGCTTCATCTCTCTGCACTGCACATGCTTAACAAACATGAAGAGTTTAGACTGTGAGGTAGGAAACCTCCTTGAGAAAGAGGTAATTTACTGTTGTATTATCCTTAGAGCCAAGGAAAGCTGGGATTCATGAAGCCTGTGCTCCCTTTCCAGTGTTCTGACAAAGCAGTTTATTATGGCGAAATGATATCCTGTGTAGCATTGGTGTTAATCCATAAAATATCTGCCTGCTTTGGAAAGAATTTTACCTCTCTTCTTTTCCAGTATGTGCAGGCTACTATACTGGGTTACTGATAGGAACTTGTGTCCAGTGTTCTGGGGGATGTAATTGTCAACTGTCTGAGCATGGCACTGCATTATGTATGTGAGGAGGAACGCTGGTGACTGGCTTCTTGGTCTGCTGCAACCAAAGCTCACTCTCACTTCCAGTTATTCGTCTCTTCAACTCCTTCGCTTTTAGCTGCGCTTGCTACTGTGTGCGGCTGCAGGTGGCCTTCAAATTGATTGTCCCTAACTAAACCTTAACAAGACTTCTTTGAGGAAGAGGCAAACATTATCATCCCATTTCACAGAGGAACTGAGTCCTTGTCTGAGTAAAAAGTTCCACACATTTAACTTAAGAGAGCAGACAAGTGCATGAGATTTACAAGATGGAAGATACTAGGCTTTAAATCCCAAGCACACTTTGTAGATACTCTCTTTATTAAACAACATTATTTCATTTCTAATAGTAATTTGAAAGAGAGCTCAGTGTAAGTCTTCCTGCTGGTAGAAATTGAGTTGCTGTGGTCAGTAGCAGGTTATAGATTTGTTCCACATTTTTATCTTATCATCTAAAGTCAGAGAATGTCAAAGCAAGATGTGTAACAGGCTCATCTTATCTCTTGTACCTCCTTGTCTCAGCTCTACAACTTTATTCTTAGGCTTCTGTGTTCTAATCTCCGTTGGTTGATTTCCCCCTGTGTTTTAAAACATTTCTGCGGTAGCAGCTGTAGTCAAGATGGTTTTTATTGTGTAAGTAGAAAGTACTGCTAGTCTAATGAATGAAAGTAGATGTCCAAGCTGCCTTAGTGCAGGCACCCTTATTTTAAGGGGAATTACAGCAGAAAAAAAGTGTGGTAAAATCTAGACCATTTCTGTCAAGTTTAATGAAGGAGTAATGCTAAATACTATTACCAGTTTTGTTCTGTGTCAGTCCTTACTGCTTTCCCCTTTTCCCTTTATGTGAAACTACTTAGTGAAAGCTGTGCTGCATGCCCGGGCTTTATATCTGTTTTCCAAAATCTATGCATTTCACATGTGAAATAGTAAAGTCTTGTATATAGTGCCTGATACAGTGTCAAAGGAGAATCACCCTCACTGATGTCTGTTCAGTCAAGTCTGCAGAATTACATAAATGATGAATGTCTGCTTTTTTTGTAAGACAGGAGAAACCAGTACACTTTTGTAACTTTTTTATTCTCAAACTTAAATAAAAAGTATCTTTATGGTTTACTAGTGGGTGTCAGTGAATTTCGGGACATTCACAATTCTGTGTTTTTCTGTTGTAGGAAAGGGACAAATTCTACTTGACGCGCAGTGTCATATTGGAGTTACTGCAGGCACTCAAGTTAAAGTCACCATTACCAGACATGAATCTGCTGCTGCTGGTGCAGGTACAGGAGATTCCTATGTAATTCTCATACTGATCCTGTCTTGGCCCAAATTTGGGGTGGGGCGGGCTGAGGGAAGCAGGTCCACATGGTTGCAGAAAGTATAGCCATGTAAGTAAGAATTTTTTGTATCAAAATCGGTACATTTGTAACCATAGGTGCATACATTTAGACTCCCACACAAAAATTTGAGAAACTAAATTTGGAATCCACATTGCTGATGTACTGAGGATCATAGAATATGCCTCGAGTTGGAAGAGACCCATAAGGATTGAGTCCATTGGGCTTCATACCATGTCCCAATGGGGTAGCTGCCCCAGCTGCTGCCTTGTCTTCATATCATAGCCCCAAAGCCAGTGAGCAGTTTGTGTGGGAAGGGGTGCCAGAATTCAATTTCTGTCTATTCAGGCAGGGAGTAAGCTGTCTCCAGTCCTTGAAAACCGTTCTCTTTTAACATGGAATTTTTCAACAAAGACAATAGACAATATATCTGTTCCTTTCCTTCTGTGGATTGCTGAAGTAGGAGTTAAGCTAGTTTTTCATAGGAAAATATGAGGAAGTAAGACAGAAACTTGTGAAAAATCTCTCTGCCTCCAAAATGCCAAGCATGGCACTGTTTGGCACCACAAGCTTTTCCCACAAAAATGTTTACTGAAGTCCATCAATTTTAGTCACAGGAAGTGGGCTCTCATTGTTTACAGCGAGGTAACCATCACATGTGTTTAGTAACTTCAGATGATAGGGGACCAGCATAACAGCAAGCAAGATGTTTGTTACCTAGATCATTCATAATGCTCCCAGCATCACAGCTCCATTCACTCATTTCCCTCCCATTATGGGGTCAAAGCTTCATATAGCTTACTATGGGCTCATTTTCTTTTGATTACTGGTGCGTTACTCATAGTAAATAATTGGTTGCCACTTGACAGAGGAGTAATACTGACAAGTTAAATTATATGGCATTTAGAACAACTCTGAAAACAATTACTCCATCAGTGTTAGGGGAAAAATTTGGGGTGGGGAAGAATAACACTTGTGTTCTTTTCTTTTGATAGTAAAGGGTTATTTATTTTAATCCATTTTAATTTAAAAAGCAGAAATTTGTTGGGGTTGTTTGTTTGTTTGTTTGTTTTTTAAGCCCAGACTTATTTTTTTCTGATCCCACCCAAGACCATCAAATAGCTTAACAACCAACAACCTCTTTCTGTCTTACGGGTGCAGTGGTACAGCTTGATACCATGTACATCGATGTTTGTTGACTTGAACTGACTTTTCCTGTACTACAGAATAAAGCAATTGTTCTGCATGGCTCCACTGTATAGCTCAGTTCTGTGGCTACCCCAAAGGGTGGCAATCCCACAGTCTAGTCAATCCTGAATTCCTCATTTGAGAATGCAAACATGCCATGTCAGTTTTGGCATGGGATTTAACTGGTAAACACTTGGCCTTCACATTGAGTCAATCACCTGATAGACACAATAAGCAAAACTCTCTCTTACAGTATCTTTATCTCATAAAGATAAAATGATAATTGCCTGGGTTTTCCTCTAGCACTGTTCCTATATGCTGTATTCATACCTTACACAACAGCACCTAGTGTGGATATAAATGTCTTTCATGATTTCTCTCTTTCAGAGGCTGATGAAGTGATTCATATTTCCTGCTATCCAAAGCAGCCAGCTTCTGTTTTTATGCAGTCAATGGTAAAGAATAGGGGTTGTATTCAGACCATCTGCCATAGATACCTACTGGAGGCATGATGACTGCTTCTCCCATTGACTGTGCAAATTGGCAGCCCTCAGTAGTATGTGGTCTGAATCATTCAACAGCCTCGTGAATTTAAATACCATAGTAACCACTAAGCCCATCTTAAACACTGTTGTAATTTAAGAAACCTCCTGATAAAACCACATATGTATGTGATTATTTAAATTTTCTTTGGTGTCATTAATGGAATGAAGGGACTGGTTCACATCTTTCCCACACAAAGCCATTACAATATTAATTCAAATTGTATGGTTTTGAATCCATAAAGCTATAGCAGTGTTAACATAGCACCAAACAAAAATGCTTTTAATTTCCAAGACAGTCACATCCCCATGGACGTTAGCCTGTATACCAGATTCTATACAGACAGTGCACACAGAATACAGAGATTCAGTCAGAATGTTCAAGATAACAAAGGAGCTAGGAGCACTTTAATGAAAGATCAGTCGTGGGCTGCTTAACAAAGGAATTCCTAGGAATGTACATTAGACACCCACATTCATCCAGATTACATGGTACAATTGGTGTCACTGATGACATCAGTGCTAAGATGAGAATTAACTTTATCCCACTTCACAAAGAATGAGAATTTTAACCAGATCACCCCAACCATTGCATAGGTGTCCTGGATGATAAAGGATACAGAAAGTGTCTCCTTGATTTGTCCTAGCAAATGAAAGCCACCATGTACCTGCTGCTGTTCCATGAGTTTCCATAGGAACTCCTTCTTCACCCTGCATTTTGTTTCCCAATACTTTTTCCTGCTCAGTTCTTCAGCACACATCTTCTGGATTTCCACTGACTTCAAACTATATTAGTGTCTCATTAGGATTTGCTTGTTCAGTCAGACTCTAAGGTTCTGTGTATCATCATATCTGTTTTGCTTAGGTGACTCCTACTTTCAGCTAATGTAAATCAGTGTAAATGCAGTGGTTCAGCTTATGTTTCCGTGACTATCTGTTCTACTAAATACTGAACAGAAAGATTTAAAGTTACGTATAGTACATTTATAGGAATATATAAAAACTCTGATTATGAATGGAAGTATAACATAGATTATGGTATATAGATAATTCACTTCAGTCAGAAGACATTCCCATTTAGATATTGTCCTACAGCTGTATCTCAGCAGACAATTAGCAAGAGGCATGGCAATTATTTGCACTGTGGAGGTATTTTTAGAGGTATTTGTAGAGGGAGACAACATAAATTACAGTGAGTTGGACTAGAAATGTAAGATTTTATTTTTTTTTCATTTTGAGTTTGGTTTTCCTCATCCTCTTTTGACTGCATTATAACGTTAGGAAGGATCCTTGGAACTAGCAGTCTGATGATGACAAAGATGATATGCTAAACAAGGCCTACTTATTCATTAGGAATGGAGAGGAGTTTGTCGGGTGTTTTTTCATATATGAATCAATACCTGTTATTTGACCCAAACTCATCTATGCAAAAGATGTAGAAAGCTTACAGGAAGCCAGTAGAGGTTGCTTTGGCTGCTGCTTCTTATTATTGTTCTTAAAAGAAAATGTCTGAAATAAATTACATTTGTCTTTGGTAAGGGTTTTTTTGTTGACTTACATGGCGAGTGCTGTACAATGTCTGTAGCAGTGTACTGAACTCACTGTTGGATCTTAAACATACTCAGCCAGATTCTTCAGGGAATTACAGTCTGTTTTTTGCAGCTGATGTAATACAAGGGAACCCTAATCTATACACAAGTGGTTGACTGAGAAATCCTTCACACAGGAAAACAACGTATCTGTTGTCCAGCGGGCAGACCCAGTGTCAGCATTGCTCTTTCTGAGACAGGGTGCATTAGGAGAAAATCTGTCATCTATTTGCCTAAGCCCATTAATGGCCCTTCTTTTAAAAGGGGAGAGTCATGGTTGCTGTTTGGACTAAGACTCAGCTGTCTTTACTGGATTGATACAGCCCATAACCCTAAGGCTTTCTTTTGCTTCCCATGTAATTATTACAGCTGTGGTACAGAAGAGCACCACGCCATCTCCCAACTGAAATATGAGTTAGATTCCTGGTTTATTTCCACTTGGCTTATTCTGGTGCAAAATAAATTCTAACCAGAAGAGTCAATGGGAGACAGGCCTATGTATGAGGATACCTAATTAAATTATTAATCTAAACTCAGGCGTATCTTTCTGGTATTTATCTCAAAGAAGAAGCTCTTCATCAAGACATAGGTTGAGTAGTTTCCAAGTCTTGATAGGCAGTCCGAATTCAGGTTAAATCTGTCATTAAAAGCTAAAGCTCAGGGAAGTGTAAGAGTTAATTCTAGGTCTGTAAAAGATATTTGGAAATATTTTCAAGAAGAGCAGTCAGTCATTGAGAGTACTGCTGATACACATGCATCAGACAACTGTAAAATATAATATGTAGTCAGTATCTGTCTCAGTTTGTGAAGGTACCATAGTGTTAATTTTCATACAAGAAAATTAAGGCTTAGGCCTTAGTCTGACAGTTCTTTTCTGTCTGCTCTTTCTTAGAAAGTTACATTGCACTCAAATGCGAATACAGTATTAGGACAACAAGTTTTAGGAACAAGCAAATCATCTGCATGCATTATTGAAGCTTATAATGATTAAATAACAGTATTAGCAGGTCTAATGTATGAACGATATAGACATCAGAGATTTTGGGTCAAGGGATTTGGAAATAAAAAGAAGCAAAAAAAAAAGCATGAAAAATAAAGGCATAAGGAAAGCAATTAGCGATATTTTACTATGACAGAATGATACTGACCTTCTTTCAGAAACAGCTTGGTTTTCTGTAGTATTGTGGCCTCTATTATGCAGAAGTTGTACCATGCCGTACCAGTATGTTCTCAACTTCAAAATTGTTCGCATAATTGATCATTGTAGAACTTCAGTGAAAGTGTTGTAATATCACAGTGAAGAGCATTGCATCCTGCCTTGTCATCCTCTATCATGGTTTACTCTGTAAGGAAAGAGGAACATTTGATATATGCAAGAAATAGCAAAGATATATATTTTTGCTCATAAAGTCTGATTTATTATATAATATTTTTCAAATTGCTCCTGCGTAGCATATATGTATTAATGAAGCACATTAAAGTCAGATTTTTTTTTCATTAAAATTGACTCATTTATAATGGTGAGTTAACTAGGTTTTTTATAAAGAAAGAGAGCTCTAAAGGCAAATTACCATGAAAAAAAGCAAAAAGAGATCTGAACTGCTTTTAATAAAGTAATTAATAACTTACTAGTGTCTTCAGGTTCCTCCAAAAATAGTTGGAAAATAACTTGTCTTTAATTTCTTCTTAGTTTGTTTGTGCAGATGCTGGAACAAAACTAGCTGAGTCAACAATCTTGCATAAACAGATGATTGCCTCTATGCCTGGAGTAAGTACTGAATCAAACTCCATTTCTTAGTTTTGGTTTTAAAAAAAATATTATTCAGCTCATTTTGCTTTATTTTAATGTTGTTTCGTTTTCATTTCTCTTCTGGTTGGAAAGGTGTTTTGCAAGCAGAGGTTGAGATGTTTATTCCTTTTTATTAATGTCAGAAAAGTTCTCAACTTGGTGTTGTTTCCCTTACTTTCACTGATAGTCTTTAGTCAGGTAACTGTGTGGCTGGAGCCTGCACTCAAGAAGACAACATGTGGGGAACAGACCATCCGAATGCCTTAGAAAATAGTAGCAGGGAGGAAAGCTACAAGCCATTGCCTCCATTCTCACAAAAGATTATCTGGTTAAAGAAGAGAGTTAATGGCATTTTTCTGGTAATGTGTAAGGCATTCATCTATATCCTGCTGATGAGTGTAGCTAATTACCCGTACTCATAATTGCCTAAGTGCTGAATGTGCGCCTGGTGAATATGCAAGTAGCACAATTGGAGATCTTGACTTCTTCCATGACATGTGACTGATGGACTGATACCCAAACAGATGGATGAGGGTTAGCCCAGGTCTGCTTCACAAGCTGAGGAAAACTCATTTCCCTGTATGCGTGTCTCTGTCAGCTTTAGTGGTGACCAAATAGGATCTTTCCCATATATCTTCTAAAGTGTGTGAGTTTTTTTAATGCAAGTCTTCAATACCTTTCTTCCCAACAGAATATTTAAGTTTAAACTTGCTTTTAATAGACTACTAACATTGGTGCTACAAGGTATGATAGGAAAGCGATTGTTTCAGAAGAAATCATAGAGAATCAGGCTGCTTGCTGCTTGAGTGAAACAGAGTAGATGCTTGGAGAGAAGTCTTTGTATAGTATCTTTTATAATTCTATTCAATATTTTAGAACTCACGTGGAATCCTTAGTCCACATGAACTGGATGGAGGGTATGCTGACAGGGCTGCCAGTGACCTTGTTTTACTCTATGTTATTCTGTCAAGGGAACTGTCAGTCATAGCATTTGAAAAGCCAGAAGGGGGCATAGATCAACACCGTGTAAATTGATATTAACATACAAAAATGAGAAGTGCCTAGGTCAGTGGCTTAAAAATAGAACGTTAGCAGTTTTTCAGATTTTAGCCACTGAAACTCAATTATGGCTTAATAATTTTGTGATCAAAACTAAATCTGGTTCATTTTTATACTTCGATAGGGTAATCAGCTTCTGTGCTTCAAAGTGTAGGTAATTAGAGGTCAAAGAAGAGTAGTTTCCCCTGTAAACTGTACTGCAATGTTTTGCCCTGCGCCTGTGACTTTGGATGCACTAGTTTGTGGTGACTTTAAAAAGATACCTAATTTGATAATTTCATCACTTAGCCTCAAAAATTAAGCATTGCTTTTACTTGGCCCCTAAGAATGAGGCGTTTATAGTTCCTCTTGAGTTCTTCTGGCATTATCTTCACCTCAGACTGTTAACATGTAAACAGAAGTTTATATGATACCCAGTGGGTCAGTCATATCACCTTCTGAAAGCTTCTCTCCAGGGTTCTTGGGTCTGTTTGAAGCCTTTATTTACTCTGACAGCTTTGTTCTGTTGACTGCTTTGTGCACCTTGGGCATGCCTTGTACTAGCCGAAGGCCAGAATTGCATTTCTCACGGTGTTGTAGGAAAAGGATTGTGGAAATTTGTACTGTGTGGAAGCACCACATTGAGTCTTTTTGTTTTCCCTTTGAGGTTCTTGCTCTGGCACAGGTCACTTCTCAATGCTTATACCTTTATGGTCAAAATGGAGCAGTTCATGAAGGATTTAATTTATCCATTATAGTCCTTGCCTCCCCTTTTGAAAATTGCAGCTAGCATAAGTGCCTTTAGAAAGCTGTATTTTGAATTATTTCGCTAAAGGGATATCCCAAAAACATTTGTTAGTTTAAAAAAAGAAAAAAAAAGTAACAGTTAAATTTCAGTGGTGTTCATTTTAGTGTTTTTCCATCGTGAATAATGTGAACATAAGGGTGTCTGTGGCTGTGACTGAATTTTGTTTTCTGTGATTGTAGCTGATTGGTTCCATTTGCAGAAGTGCTCTGCCACTTGAAATCTGAGTTGTTAAACTCTCATTGACTTTTTAAGGCTTTAATTCTGGACCACTGTAAATTTCAGGATGACATGACAAGGATATTCTTGAAAGCTTCATCAGTTAATCTTTATCGCTGTCACAGATAAGAGTATTTTATGATGCATGAAGAAGTTGCAGTGACTGGGCTATCTTTTTATACTGTCATCAGATAAGAGGGCATAGTACAGTCATAAGAAAAACATCAAAGAATACCTGTTCCTAATTAATCTAACTAGAGATTAAAATAAAGAATTTGAGAGAGACGAATTGTGTTCTGCTGAACAAGAAACAAAGACAAAAGCATGAACATATTCAAAGCCTGGTACTTAAACTTATTTCTTTTGTGTTCTAGTGTGGAACAGCAGCAATGGAATGCATGAGGCAATATGTTGGGGAAGTGCTGGATTTCATTGCAGATATGCATACCTTAACCAAATTAAAGGTTGGTTCGGGCATACATTGATCTAAAGTGTATGGTTTTTTTTTAGCAAAATGAGGTTTTCTGTAATGAAACGTCTGGGAGAAACAGTTGGAAGTCTTTGAGGATGACTGTCAGTTTTTTTTTCTTTCTTTTTTAAAAAAATATTTGTACTGTTATAGATTAGATACTTCTGTGGGATCAGTAAATAGTAACTTATGCAGTCTTGAAGTGGAGGCTGATTCAAATATCATGAGGGCACAATAAAAATGCAGGCTTGATTCTTTTGAAATGTTGCTGATAAGCTAATGATAAGTTTTTCTGAAATGTTGGTGATAAGCTAATGTCATACCAAATCACTGAAGTAGTCATAATGCTCTGTAGGGAGCATAACACTATCCCATTAGGTAGTTTAATTGTACCATCTGAAGTTGAGTACTAAGTGAGCACTGAGATGGAGGTGAAACTTTGGTGGTTAAAATTGTCCTTTTTGTAGAGGGAAAACACCTGTCTTCTAGTGGAACCATCTGTTATTTTTCAATGCCAGGCAAAGTCAGAGCATAGTCTTTCTAGCTACATAGCAGAACCCTGCACAAGAGTGGATTCCCTTCAGCACATAAAATGGAGGCAGAGGTCCAGCTTGATGTATCCAGCTTCTGCAAAGCTGGCAAGACAAATGAATGGAGTGGGAGTGCAGCAGAGGAACCATTATAGATATGGAACAGAGCCTATGCTGTAAAAGATGCAGCTAGTTCTGAAATATGGCAGTAGAGTTTTAGTCCTTGTACACCAACAACTCGGTGATCCAAGGGGAAGTTCATCTAAAAGACTTCATTTCATCACTGGCCACAGTCCAGTAGCTGCCAAGCTGAAGCTCAGTTAATAGAGAATGAAAACCAGTGCTGTTCCGGCTAGTATGGATCATATTGCCATTGCTCACATGCCTGGGCTTTGGTGCATGTGGTCCTCTAGAGAAGTTCTTTGACCAAGGCCTTGCATTTGTTTCTAACCTCAAGAGCCACTGTGCTTCTGTAACACAGAGTGCATCTGCTAGTAAATGGTGATGATGGTCTGTTTTCCTGATCGATCAGTATAGTGTTTACCTGAAGGGGCCCCTCTACTACTTCCCCAGTCCTCTGCTGACACTTACTGGAAATGCACTGGAGTGTTTCATGCCACAAGTTCACGGAAGCATTCTGTGGCAGGCAAGACAGAATAAATGATAACCTGTAGTGGGTTTTGATACTGGAGTTTATTTATGAAGCAATGAGATGAGAACTTTAACCCCACTAGTTTCTTGCACACTCGTTTGCTCGCTGTCCCCCTGCCCCCTCCACCCCACCTCATACATCAGAGGGGAGACTGTATTGCAGGTTAATAATACCACAAAGTAAGAAGAATCCCGACTAAACTGAAACTCATGTCTTTTGAAACTCTCAGTAACCTTGTTTTACTGGACAAAGTATTCCTTTTGTTAAGTTCTTACCCTTTCGGCCATATGCCTTGGATCCCATTGAATTTTAAAAAAATACTCTAATAAGGGAAGCAGCCTTTTGTGCTGGAGTAGAAGTTTACTTCAAAGAACAAGCTAATTAATCATTTTCAGTGGAATTGGGTTGCTTTCCCACTCTATCCTTTAAAGTTATTCACCCATTTCTCTTACAGTTCAGAACTCTTTCCAGAATAGGTAGGAAGATGAATCATAAGTGAGGGAGAGAGACATCTGGTTTGGCAGTGCCACAGAAAAAACATTAACTTATCTGAAACCAGGAATGGGGAAAATTTATAAATACTTGCAGATATCCTCTCTCCTGTGTATAATGTTTCTGTAGAAAGCTCTCTGCCATTTGTACTTTTTCTTTCTGCCCCTTCTCCCTTGAACTGCAGTCTGATTTTCAGAAATGCTCTTAGAATGCTTAAGTCTGATAAGATGATAATTTCTTATGCTCAGTAGGACTATTTATTTTTTCAATTTTTATACATGGATATAGGTAGGACATGAACAAAAACTTTACCCAGTTCTTCACTTTTATGTTGTGGTATTAGACAAGAAGCTTCCCAAATGTGTAGTCTGGCCATTTAAAACTAAATCAGAACCAAATGGTCTAAAATTTCATGTTGATTTGGTTTAACTATGTGATACAGGAATCTAAGAAAGATTAACATAATAGGAGAGTCAAATATGACCATAATTTTATGTATTGCAAAGAATTATCTTTGGCTGTCTTTGGAAATCGAAAAGGCAGTTCTTATTTAACCAGACCAGATAAACTTATTCTGTGGTTCTAACATAGTTGGGAAAATATTTGTAAACATCTCTAAGTTTACAAATAGTCAGAACTTTAAGCAAATTCACAAAATCTAGATTCAAATTCTTGTAAACTAATTTAATATATTTACTTATGTTGCTTGCGTTTTATTAACAGAGGTATTGCTAGGAAGTGAGTCCTAAGATTATTCAGTTGTACAATTTCTTACTATGAGTATGTATTAGCAGCAGCATCTGGACCAACAAACTAACACAAAGAATTCCGTATGATTTATGTGACCAGTAACAATCCCAACAGCAAAAGTTTAATCTTGGCTTCCAAATTTTGAAATTTATACTCTCTGTAGAAATTTAGTGGACAGAAATAAAGCTGATTATTCATTTCCAATGTCTTATTTTCCGTGTCTGAAAATAGTTTATTTGAAAGAGGTTAACTATTTTCAGTCCTGTGTGTTAGCAACTACTGCATTCTAAAAAAGGTACAAATGTTAATTCTGAAGATAATCACATCCCAGTTTATTGTTTCTGTTCAATTTATATCTTTTTTTCCCTTTGGGATAACATTTTAATTGGTAAACCTTAGCAAGGTTTACTTTAGAAAATTTCACCATTTTTGAAGAAGTATACACAGTTAGAGACCCTGAGAAAGGAATTGAAAGGAAATTAAATAGAATATGCTGTTGCTTGGAAGAACTAAGTTCAAGTGAAAAACTCTTTTCAGGTAGGAAATCAGATCTTTGCCTTGCAGAGTCACATGAAGACTTGTTCTCAGCCACTGCATGAAGACACATTTGGTGGACATCTGAAAGTTGGTTTAGCTCAGATTGCTGCTATGGAAATCACACGGGGAAACCACAGAGACAACAAAGCTGTGATCCGATATTTGCCTTGGCTTTACCATCCTCCTTCGGCAATGCAACAAGGGTGAGAATGCTTTTCTACAAAAAGGAGTACTAAAATGACTTAGAAATCTTCACAAAATTTTGTGTTTATTGCTGCAGTAGGGAATGGTCACTGTGCGATGTTGAAAAAGCTGGTCAGGAGCTCCTTGATCCTTAACTGAGGAGTTCATCAATGCAATATTTAAGTACGTGTCAAAGGGACAGTGGAGATGACTCCATCAGCTTGACTGGAGTTGCCCTGTAAATTAACTTGATCTAGATACAGACAGGGAAAAGCACACAGGTACTTGATCAGTTCCAGAATTATAGAAAGTATGTTGGGAATTACAGAGACTACAATGGAAAATGTCCTTTGAAATTATGGAGTAGAAATGAGCGAGAACTGTAAGTGTAAGCCTATTGATAATAAAAATACTAACTTCATCTGATTAAAGTTAGATGAAAGAAATCCTTATTTTCACAACATGCTTTTTATCCCTTTTCACTGTGAGAAGTCCTAATCTGCAGTGGTTTATCTTCAAAAAGAAGGGATGAGCCACTGTCCCTTGTCTTGCAATGACAACAAATGAGATGTTTTGAGTGTAGACCATTGGACTGTGCTTCAGCAAGCCTGTATTCTTGTCTCAGCTTTGTCCCAGACTACCTGCCCCAGGATTCTGGAGATGAAGCTGCTGATGCTCCAGTCTTGTAGATACATCTGCATGTACTTTCATGTAGAGCATATCTAGTTTTGGAAATACAGAGTTGTTATCTCCTTGTGCTTTGGTTTCTTACATGTGAAAAAAGGACTATGTGTTCTGAGATGAAGCTAATAAACTCTTTTAAGACCCTATAGGTACTTGAGGAAGAGCATTGTATCAGAGTCTGTTAAAAAATAAATTAATGGAATGCCTCTTTGGTCCTATGAGACTTTGACAATGACATCAAATTAGATATTTAAAACAGTAGCGAGACTGTCCTAGTAAGTAGAGATTTATTGTTCTAAAAACTATTATTTTTTTCACATGCCTGTGAATTCAAATGAGTATGTAATCTGAACTTGGTAGCAGCAAGGGGACAGACAAGATGACAGCAGTAAAGTGTTACTGCTTTTCAGATTATATGAGCACACTGCTTTACAATTAGACATTGTACTAGATGGTGGATGAATACTTAAGTGTCACAAAAAAGCGTAGTCCCTGCCCTCAAAAGCACGCAGTCCAAGTGTCCAAGGAGAGGCTAAGGAAAAGAAAAATTAACTCCAATAGAGAAGTGGAACACAGTGGAAGTAAGGCATGGAGCTCACTGTGGAATGAAGTGAATGTTTTAGCCTTTTATAGAGGCTGTTTCTTAGATCCACCAAATATGTTCTGTTGGACTTGTTAATGGTATGTCAAGTCCACGAGGTTCTGTTTGGTTCTAGTCTTCCCATTAGCTATACCAGTAATCTGTGCCTCCAGCACGCTGAGACAGCATCTGCCTAGTGTGCATAATGAGACTCTGTATTTTGGGGAAAACCAGAAAACTTAGCGTCATTGTAAAATTCACTCTTTCTTGACAGGCCCAAAGAGTTCATAGAATGTGTCTCACACATTCGTTTGCTGTCCTGGCTACTTCTGGGGTCTCTGACACACAATGTTGTCTGTCCAAATTCTCCATCATCTTGCATGCCTATTCCACTGGATGCAGGTTCACAAATTGCTGACCACCTTATTGTTATTCTGATTGGGTTTCCAGAGCAATCAAAGGTAAGGGATTCTGTGTTTTAAGTGGAGATGTGTTATGTATTGGCCTTATTATTGCAAAAGGTTATTTATTTCTTCATAAGAAAAAAGGAGGGGTAAAACCTTATTAAAACCTAGGATCTAGGGAAGGAAACATCTGTAGTTTTTCTTGCATAGCTCCCTCTTCATGCATAGAAAACTGGTGATGAAATCACTACAATAAAATTTGTGATTCAACTATTTCAAAATATCTCAGTACCAGAGTGAGGAAGGAAAAACTAATTCCAAATTGAAGCTTTAGCAATGACCATCTCTGTAGCAGATCTCTCAGAAAGTTATTTATTCTAGCTGTATAGTAGAATGGGATAACCCATAAATAATGTTATGGTCAAAAGTTAATTACAAACAGTTATGGTTCAAGCACAACTTTTTTTCTCAAGGTGCTCTGGACAAGAAGAGTTATTGCAAATCGTAAGTCATTTGTCACAATAGTTTAACACAGATATAGCAGCACTCTTTGACACCAACCAGGTTTTTATTAGCAATGAAAGCAGGATGATCACACATTTATCTTGTACGTAACATCCCCCTTTCTTCCCTCACCCAACCAAGACTCTGATGCTTCCCATTCATTTCTTTGTCCTTTTTTTTGCTCTTTCAAATACCACTTTCCAGTTACCAAGCAACCAGTGCGATGTTTCGTGCAGCCATGTTCAGCTTTTAATCAAACAGCACCCCCAAGTCCTTCTCCTCAGAGCTGCTCTCAATCCATTCTCCTCCCAGCCTGTATTTGTGCTTGGGATTACCTCGACCCATGTGCAGGACCTTGCACTTGGCCTTGTTAAATTTCGTGAGGTTTGCACAGGCCCACCTCTCAAGCCTGTCAAGGTCCCTCTGGATGGCATCCCTTCCCTCCAGCGTGTCAACTGCACCACATAGCTTGGTGTCATTGGCAAACTTGCTGTGGTGGGGTGTACCCAATCCCACTGACCATGTTTCTGTATTAGCAAAGAGCCATGCTTGAGTATGCAAGATAAATTCTCTGTTAGCTTTTCCAAACTTTCCTTGACTGTGAGCAGTTCTGTCCCAGCAAGGTAGAAATGGGTGACAGATTAACAGAACAGGTGTAAGATGGTGTATTTTGTATGATAGCCTTCCCTTCAGGTGATCAGAATCTGAATCTGAATGCCTTTCCCCAGCAGCACTTTTGAAATGGAGTCATACGTGCCAGGGCCTCCAGGCCTTCCACAGATTGTGGTGGAGTTTTCCATCAAGAAAGTCTCAGAACTAGTCCTGAGAAGCTGTTCTGCAAAACTAACATTATCTTTAAAGGGAAATGACCTAAATGCCGTACAGTAAGATTGCATGGGAGTATGTGTTTGCAAATGCAATTTTTTAGTCTGTAAATATAAAACCAGTTTTTAAACATGGAGATGATGTTATCAAGTGTGCTTGACTTTCTAGCTCCTAATGGGAGAGAAACGTGGGAAAGTGAGGAGCAAGACTGCACAGTGGGATGCATGACAGAGGAGTGCTTTGATGGAAGCCTCTGTACTGTATCCCAATACACTTATCTAAACAAACATTTTCCTCTATTTTCTATTTCTACAGACATCTGTTCTGCACATGTGTTCCCTCTTCCATGCATTTATATTTGCTCAGCTCTGGACAGTGTATTGTGAACAAACAGCAGTAGCTCCGACAGTCCAGAATCAGAATGAATTTAGCTTTACAGCAATCCTTACAGCCCTGGAGTTCTGGAGCCGAGTGACACCTAGCATCCTACAGCTAATGGCACATAACAAAGTGGTGAGTCAGGTGTTGTGTACAGATTTAGTACAGATTAAACTCAGAGGGCTTGACTTTGTTTCACTGGAATACATCAGACTACGAATAATGTCATAAAACAACTTTGATACTTTTGAGAAACTAAAGGGAAAGCTAATTAGTAGCAGTTTAACCTCACAGCGGGCCTGAAACAGGATCTAGCCAGGATCTGCCTGCAACAGAATCAAGAGCTAGAGTGCTGCTTGTTGGATTAAGGGCTCTCTGCATCCGGTCTCGTGTTATATATCTTCCTGCTCTTCATGGTGGTCCTGTTCTTTCATCTGACTCTCCCTTACAGGAGCACCTGAGTGTTTTAGAATAATTCTGTGAATATCACTTGAATATTTTTTTTACTACGCAATGGTGAAAAAATAACAGAAATGCTGACGCTTGACTACTCACAAGCCATTGGTCACTCATCAAAAATAAGCTACATAATATCTCTGGAAACATTTTTGAGTAATGAATGACTTAAAGGAGGGAAATGTTCGTTCTCTCCAGAAATTGTTCAGACCATTTTTTTGGAAATATCTTTTAAGCATTTATTTATTTCAGATACTCAGTGCTGTTGGAGCAGTTTTGTACAATAAGAACCCGGAGGGGTTCCAGCAGCGTTCATAGGTGCTACCTTTGTTTCCCATTGACTAATGATTCTCTGTGCGTGCAGGCTTAGGGTTGAAAGCTTGTTTCTGATCAGCAAGATGTATTGAGTTTCCCACTTCCCAGAAAGTCATGACAAGTCTTTCCTGACTTGTCAAAATTTTTTAACTGAGATGGTAACTAGTAGCTCTGGTCTGGAGAACCTGATATTAACTTTGAGTGAGAAAGATTCTTTATATGTGGCCCAGTCCTCTTAAGTCTGGTGTTGAGATTTTCATTGTTTATTTGTTTTGTTATGTGTTTTGTTGGGGTTTTTTTGTTTGGTTAGTTTTTTTTAAATGGGGACCTGCTATCAATTTGGAAATTATTTTATGTAATTCCCCTTTCCCCCAGGCAGGTATGTACCTTTGCCCTTTCAATTGTAATGCATGGGCTGCACTTGAATGTCTTTGAACCAGGCTCCTAAAGCTGTCTTTTAAATTATATTTTGGCCTCTGACATCTAGTGAGGTCTCTGTGGTTGACGAGCCACTGTTGGGAACAGTACTTCATGAAGCTTCATTTGAATGAACAGGAAATGTGCATGACACTTCTACCTAGCCAGTTGTTTAGTCAGACATAAAAGCTTCTTGTCAAGCCTTAGGACAAGAGTATGACCTGGGACTCCCAAGTTCCAATCCTTATTCTGAAAGTATCTCATTATGTGGCTTTAGTGCAAGTTATTAAACTCTCTGCCTCAGCTATTGCTCTGTGAAACGTATATAACAATACTTACCCATCTCACAAGAGTGTTGTGAGGTTAATGAGTTAGTGTTTGTAAAGCACTTTGAAGATGAAAAGCACTACATAAAAGCTAAGTTGGTTATTATTGACGGGAATTTATACATAGTTCAGACAGGCACTGTAAATACTCACTGCTGGCTCAGGATGCTTGTCTTGTACCTATGAATTTACACAATATAAAACATAAAATGCTGTCTACTCTCAAATAACTGATATCTTCATGTCATAATTCATGGTACAAAATGGAAGAATTGTGGACTAGCTGCCAGTTCAGAACAATAAATCATCTTTTGATGGGGGAAGAAAAGATGTTTTTTGTGGGTATGTTAATTTTCAAAGATTCAGTAAATAAAAATATCAATTTCTGACACACTGATTGATGAGAACTACACAGCAAAGGCATGTAAAAGGACTTATGATGTCTGAAAAGAACAAAGCTGAAGACAAGTTGTTTTGATGTTTGATATGAATTAAAGTACATCAGGCGCTTTGAAATATTTAACAGATAGGTGTTGCTGCATCAGGGGAAAACTAACTAAATAAAAATGTCCCTATGTGCTCGTGTAATATTTAATCTTATATGTCAGGGTTAAAAAATGCATGTCTAGTGATTCAGTATAACTGCCAAGCAAATACAGGAAGGTTATTTTTAGAGACTGTTGGTTTAGCTTACAACACTGTTCTGCTGGACACTAATTTGTTTTTATGCTTTTTTTTTTTTTTTTCCCCAAGATGGTTGAAATGGTGTGTCTGCATGTGATTAGTTTAATGGAGGCTTTACAGGAATGCAACTCCACTATCTTTGTGAAGGTAGGCATACCACACCATGAATAGTTAGTTAATGATGTTGCCTCTCTGTTGTGATTTCTAGACATACTGTCCTCTGCTTCTCCTCCCACTCAAAAAAAAAAGAAAATGGAAGAAGCTGAGGTTGAATGCTGATGCAGAAATAAAGCCTAGTAGAGCATAACAAAAAACAAAATGTCTTGTAAAATGTAAGACCAGACCATAATCTCAAATCCAAGTTCTCCTAACTTTTTTTTAGATTAAATTCTGATCTACTTCTTCCTTCCATTGTTGCAGTGGTCTTATTCCTCTAATAGACTCAACTGGTGTCACTGACTTTGAGAACCTGTAGGTACTGTCTAAGTTTTCAGCCATTCTGTAACTTTTAATCATCATAGGTCCTTTGCAGATCACCTCACTGTTGATAACAAAAACTTAGTGCTAGTGGTTTTCTTATTATATGCCTACATGTCTGACTTAGTCAAATAGTATTTGATAGTGAATCTTCTTCCCCTAGGATGTGTAACAGGGTACTATTTGGTTAGAAAATCAAATCCTGCGTTCTCCATTCATGTAAAATTCTTTTTTTTTGGAAATCAGTGGTCAATTTCCTGTGGGTCACCACAGCATTTTCAGAACAGATTCCCAAAGGACTGGGGCAGTCTCACAAGTATAAATTATTCTGAAGGGAGTTTTCACATAAAATATCAACAAATCAAGTAGTTAAACACACCCTGAATCTAACTGAAATATGTTGCTTTATGTAGTTCTTCTATTGCCACAAAGGAAACTTCTGACTTGTTTTACTCCAGTCTTTTATGGTCAAGCAGGAATTCAAAATACAGTTGTTAAAATTAAACATCTTGATGATAACTGGCATGAAAGTATTCGAGGTCATTGTGAAAAAGCAGGTTTATAGTCAGTTATGACTTGATTCACTACAGAAACTCTGTCACTATGGGATGTTAAGGTGATTATGGCTGTCCCTGGAAGACATATGAGTTTCTCTTTCAGCCAGTCCAGGATGTCCAGAACTTGACAAGGATGAAGAATGGCTGTGAAAAGAGAGGCTTTAGGGGCCAAATGCCTGTCACAATTCAAATTAATGCTTTCAGGGCATTGTATTAGAGCATATATATGACAATATGCTAAATCACATTAAAAAGACGTTACTACAAAATCAAGCTCATAAACCTGTGAAATTCAGAGTAAAGGTGCTAAGCTTTCTTTCATGTGCAGTGGATGGGAGATGGAAGAGAAGAATCTGGGTGACCAAATCTCCCTTACTTAGCCCTAAAGCCTATATCCTGCAGGAACAATATACATACATAATAGTATTATAGGATTCGTAGTCCCAGGTTACTAATTTTTTTCAAAACTAACTAATTGTAAAAATATTTATGTAGATCTGAAAAGAAAGTGTAGTGATTTGGGGAAAGACTTACTGTATGTTTTAATTCCTTCAAAGAAGCATAAGTGTAAAGCTTATTCACGCAGGAACCAGTCAGGGGGTGGCATCTCTATAATTTAAAAAAAAAAAATCAGCTTTTACTGGCTGTGAAGAAGATCTGCACTTTGTTACTCCTACTTCAGAAGTCTGGAAGGATGACAATTCTTTGAATATTGGTTAGACTGGGAAGTTTTTGGTAGCTTTTTTAATTCTAGACAATCTTTTGTGGCCCTGCCTTTGATAATGAAACAGTTTTATCTTGTGCTTTAAAGCCTTTTTTAAAAATTTTATATATAAGCCTTTCAAGCAGGGTTTAGTTTTCACTGAAGGAAAGGACATAGTGTAGTGAAGGATATTTTTTACACAGAACATTCTTAACACTCACAGAGATTCATTCAGCAAAGTTAAGAATTCCCAATGACTTCTTCTTGTAACTGAGCACAGTAGCACTGATAAATCCTGACTATTTACCATTCATATATTTACTGTTGTGTCTTTTATTCCACTTAAGGAATCATGTGCTGCAAAAGCTTCATTTGTTAATGCAGTCATTATATAATGACATAATTCAATGACAATGAGAAGGTGGTGTATGTCACATGATGCCAGGCAGTTTATGGGATAGCTATCTTAGGTGGCAATTTTCTGTATGACAAGTGAGGGGAAAGTATGTCCTAAAACAAGAGAAAAAGAGAAGACATAAACAATTTGTCTCTCCTTCACTGAAAGAAGAGCTTTCTCTATGCCTGACGTAAGCACTCCTTCATCTCCTCCTTGTGTTGATGCTGTGAGGTTTCCTCCTCCTGGTACTGGCTTGGCCTTTGCTATTAAATCAAACTCACACTGATAGTATTGAGATGCATCTTGATTGTTTCTTACTCTTTGAGCCATTCCCTGTATTCTCAGAGGATGCTTTTTGGATCTGATGTTAGACTATCTTTACCAATCTGGTGAGGAAGACTAAGCTTCTTTCCTGTGAAAACATTTCAACTGTTATGTGTTTATTTTTCTTTCTAAGTTGGAGTGAGATATATGTATATACACATTTACACAGACGCCTGCATACCCACATATATATTTAATTCATTGTATTTTCCTCTGAGGGGAAGCATTCTGCTTTAGGAGGGCTGAAATTAAAGTGCTCACCTTTCCTCCTGTTTTACTGTGTCAAAGGAACTGGTCACAACTCTTTTTCTGACCACCAGATGTATGTCTGAGAAATTTCAGAGCCTACAGTAGAGAAGGGAGCAGCTCAGCAAACCACAATGTCTTTGGAGACCCAGGGGTTTTACAAAGCTCCAGCAGCTGCTGGGTAGACTTGTAGAGAACTGGGCAGGCAGCAGAGCTGGGGAGCCAGAAAAGCACAGTGACCAACCTGTTCTCCAACCTGGTTTCCATCAATACTTGCACTGGAATCAACAAATTCTGTTGAAAATACAAACTCCAACAAACTGACAGTGTCTGACAGCAGTCTGTTCTCCCAGCTGTTCTTTCTAACTAGCTTTATGTGTTCTTCCTTTGTGACGAAAAGGCTGTCTGGGGATTAGGTAATAAAACTCAAGTGCTTCAATAAAATGTCATCTTGTCTCATTGATCTAACTGGCAGCTGTAGGAGTAGAGGGTTTGCTTGCTTGTGCCTGCAGCAGAATGTGTCGTTTCCCTAAATGTGCCCAGACCCTGGAAGACAGAAGTGGTGCTGGAGGACAATGATCTCAGTCTTAGACCTCTACAGCATAGATTTCAATATGAGCTGGTTTCCGTGAGTGCCCTTCATAGACAGTGGAGACAAACAGGTATTTTTGGAGATGATTCATCTTGATCTATTTTAGATAACCTGCTTTGGGACAAGATGAACTGGATGTGAGAAGTGCTTGAATCTCTCAGCTGACTGTAGAACATGGCCAGTGGTTCAGCTGCAGGGGGTTACCCTGAGTTTTCTGCCTAGCTTTCCTCCTTGCTTGACATACTTCGGACAGCAGTCCTATCACCACTGGCGAGCTCCATAGGAACTTCATCAATGCTGGATGAAACTTTCAGCGACATTTTGTTTATGGCAGTGGTGCATGGAGTATGGCTTCTCAGTACGCTTACCTGTTCCCCTCTCTCCAAAAAACCCACCAGGACTTGTGGTCACTGGATCTTATTAAGCATTTCATTGGTGGGAGAGCCCATGGAAGGATGTACAGAACTCGCATGTCTGCTGTATCTGGCTGCATTCCAGATGTTTTGGCATTCATCTATCTGTAAATGCTGAGGTTTGAATATGGTTCTTCATGTGGTAGACTAAGTAATCAGTCCTGACAGAACTGCATATGATTCTCCGGCAAAACAGCACTGAAATGGAAACAATTATCGTTACTTGCACAAGGGAAACAGCATTTTATCTAATGTTGTCAATAGTGATTAGGTTTAACTTGCAGCTCCTGCTAGCATAATTGGCAAATTGCAATTTTTAATGCCATTTGGAAGAACATTTTAGAACAATAACCTCAGTGGTCAAATTAATATTGAAGAACAGGAATACTTTTGCTAGAAATGCCTCTCTGTCTTTCATAAGCTTGTCATGTTATACTTACTTGGAAATAAAAGTTCTCTGAAGAGCAGGAGACTGAAATATATCTCAATCCAATCATGCATGACAAATTTGTAGACCTCACCTTGTTGTTCTGGATAGTTAAGAGTTTTCAACTGTGCTCCCAGGCCTACAGGTCACATTCTGCAGTGAAACACTGATGTGACTAGTGGCTTATAAAATGCTGCTTACTATTTAAATATCTGGCATCTTATTAGGAACTTCTGCTGCATGTTTTTTCAGTTCTTTATATATACCTTGCCATGCAGAATGTTTACTGCATTTATTCCTGTAATGCTCACCTGCACATACAGAAACACCCTCACAAGGAAAATAAGAAATCGTTTATTTTAACAAGGTTTTATTCTGTACTCTCATCATTTCTCTAAACATGTTATCAGTAATTGCTACTGATGATTCATCAAGCTACAAACAAGGGAAGCTGGCTTCTTTGCCTCTGAGAGTTACCTGCCCCAAAACACATGCATCATTTAAAAATAACCACATTTTGAGATTTGTGGTTCAGGCTATGTCCATTAGATAGCTAAATGCATTAGATATACCCTTCTCTGTCTCTCAGTAACTGGAGCATGTTTACAGTCAGTTGTATAATAACAAAATATACCTCTCTTCTTACAGCTCATACCAATGTGGTTGCCAATGATACAGTCAAATCTAAAGGTAAGTTGTTTCTAGTACCTTATCCTTTTATTAGTGTTATATATTTCTGTAAATTCTGGAAATAAGATCACTAGACGTGGTCTCCATAGCCTCTGAAAATAGATCATTATAGTGTATCCAGATGCATGGGATGGCTCAGCACTGAAGGTCTCAAGTGTGAGCATACCCAGAGCATCATCAGCTAAGATACTTGTCCTGTAATCAGTACTGCTCTCCCTTTCCCTTCTGAAACACTTTCCTCTAACCAGGTTCTGTGGCAGGGCTTTTCCTCCCTGTTTACTGAGATTGGCTTTTCCTTAAGGTGTGGTTTACTTGATGTCTTAGGCTTGAGAGTCTCCTGACAAATCAGGATTGGGACTCTTGACTCAGGAGATGGATTTGGGTTCTATAGCAGATACTGTTGGCCTGCTTCCTTGTGCAAATCTGTGCCAGCTGGCCCCACTTCCAAGAGAGAGCAAGGTGGACCAGTGCGGTTTGCCAGTCAAGGGAATTTTGGTGATGAGAATAAGTGTTGGAGTTGGTCTCAATATGGAGTTGTTTCTGTAAGCACATTTGCCTGTCATGGCAACACTGCAGTGCAGGATGTGTAAGAAAGAAATGGGATATTGGGGCTGTGGAGGAACTTTCCCTGGCCAACAATCAGTACTTTTCACAGTGCTGTACTGATGTATGTGTTAAAGGAAAAAAAAACCTGAATGTTTTGCATTATTTAAACAGCATTTATCTGCTGGACTCCAGCTACGCCTCCAAGCCATCCAGAGCAATGTCAACCATCACAGCCTAAGGATGTTACAGGGGTCAGGACAAATGAACAATAGCTCATCTGTGCTCCGCAAATGGCTACAGTGTACCCAATTTAAAATGGCTCAAGTGGAAATTCAGTCATCAGAAGCTGCATCTCAATTTTATCCTTTATGATTCATGTAATTTGTTCCAAATGTTCATTTTTAGCCTAGCAATAACAGGGTTAGGGCTGTAAAAGACCTTTCGTATAAATAGTATACAGAGTATATACTGTATCTATACTTTTTAGCCTAGGACAGATTGTGGAAAATGCGTGAAGCTAAGAGCCTGATCCTGATCAACAGGTTCTCAAGTCTGCATTCATAAACATGTGTTAGCAGTATTGGACTTGAATCTATCACATTGTACATATCTCTCTGATTATTGAGATATCTGGTTCTTAAATGTTTCTTTCTCTTATTTTTGAAGCTAAGACAAAAATAACTTTTCTTTAACTTCTATTTTTTTTAAAAAATAGAATTGTGGGTATTCACAAACATATGGAAGTGCTATGTTGCTATTTTTTGACAATAACAAAAGAAAATAGGGTTTCTAGGAACCTTTATAGGAGGTTTTTTTTTGGGGGGGTGTCTTTTTTTTTTTTTTTTAGATTCACAGCTGGCAATGCAATAAAACCTGTCACTATGAAACAGTGATGTTCTAATGAGGTTTTTTGTCATCATCTTCTGGGAAAACAACAGCTTGTAAAGACAGTTATTATAAAGTGCACTTAGAAATTAGGTTGTTAAACTGTGCCAATTCATTTGTCTTTTTTCTTTTGTACTGTTTTTCAAAACTGCCAAGTCAGATTTATTTTTTGAAATATTGCTTTTATTTCATTAATTCTGTGCTGCTGCTCTTTGTAGGTTTCAGAGAAGCCTCTCTAATTTTGTGACTACTGTATTGTACTCTTCTCTCAATACTTGTATACAGTGCAATTAAAGACAGATATCCCAGACCTATCCTCATTGATGTCTACAGAAATTGTATTGCAGACTTCAAGAGGAGCATGACTGGACCTGAACTTTTGCATAATGATATTTACAAAACACAGCATTTGCATACTATTGTATTAAACATGATGTTTAATAACAGATGGATTTTAATATCATTAAGGGACTCAGCCAAAGCCCATTGGAATCTAAGGAGACTCAATTAATTCAGTGGATTTTACATAAACTCTTGAGAGCACCGTGATTTACCACCTCTTGTAATTAATACTTAAATCTGTGCAATCACAGCTGTGTTTTCTGTATTTATTCCTGTAATGCACTGGTTAGAAGAATAACAAACACATTTAAGATGTGTATTATAGAATAACAGAATCATAGAATGGTTT